AGATAGATAGATAGATAGATAGATAGATAGATAGATAGATAGATAGAGGGCTTAGTTTTGTTTTAGCTTTCAAACCAATTATTCCTTTATTCCAAGAAGGAGGGTATGGCAACCTGTATGGGAAAGTATGTGTACTCGACTTACTTGTCTTTTCATGACCAAAAAAAAAAAATGTAACATTTCCCGAAAAATAAAAATACAATTTACAGAATCACATTAAACATAAGCTTGAGACAAATTCGGAATTAAATGTCTATGAAAATGTTAAAAATGTGTAAAAAAAAAATTACAATAAAAAATAACTTACAGTTTGACAATTTTTATTAATTGACAGTAATTGTAAATCCACAGTATATCGTTTTGTCTTTCCGTGTAGATTTTCTGAACGGGTCAGAGGACGGCTTTAGTTTGCTGAGTGACCGTAACAGCACAGGTCACACAGACCCTGTGAAGGTTTGTATTTTGAAACTGTTCAAACAACATTGACTTTTTGAAACGGGAACGCTAACAAACAGCTGGCATCCTCCAAACTTCTTGTGAACAATATTCAAAGAATAAAGTTGCAAATGTTAAGTTGACTTTGATTTACACTTTTCATTCCCTGGTAAAATATTTACATCACATCTATGTGAATTGTTCTGAGTTAAGTTTTTATCATCACAGTTTATCTTATAATGACAGTAACATAGACCGATCAGTAGCTATGGCATCTGATTGGCAGACTAGGACAACAAATAGGCTGTCAGATCTCAAGTCAGCATGACCTATATCTTATAAAAGTCATATTTGCACCACAGTTTTTACAGCATTCTGTGTCATTTCTGAACACTGTGCTGTGAGGCCATGGCAATGAGACTGATTTATTGTTGCCTTCTGGCAGTTGCTCTGCATGGCTATCTGACTGAGGCTCAATATGGTAAACCTCAGAACCCTCCGGTTGTGAGACCAGTTTTTCCCGTGGGCCCTCAGAAACCCCAGGATCCTGCAAAACCACAGCCACCTCAGAATCCTTACGTCC